AATTTGACCCATCAAATCTCATAGTTGTAATCTAAAACCCGGTTTCAGATACACTACCATAACTGTGGTTTCCAAAACTACTTTCTCCCTGACCCTTAAACTCCATCTTTGATCAAGATTCAGTGGCTACAAATTGTTAGAGTCACTATACCAGAAAACAGAGTCAAACAAGCAGGTCTAAAAACTGATCCGAAACCAACACAAATCTGATCTGATCTGATCCGAAATCTGATTTGAAACCAACCCAAATCTGATCTGAAATCAATCGCTTATCGCAGTATAGGCAAGGAATCAACTCAAATCTGATCTAAAATCAATCGGCATGCACAGTACCAGGCAACCTGTCAATCTGAGATGCTATTTTCTGAAATCACTACTATGGGGCCCACTGCTGCAAGGGCAAAATTAGGGTTTCAACTGCGGGTTTGAAATAAGTGCTCAGCTGCACTCTCCAAGCAATCCGCACAAGTGGGACTTGTCGTAGGGCAATATGAAACCCTAAAACTAATCACCTCTGAGAGGGAAGGGGTTCGGCCCAACAGTCAAACCCTAGAAACAAACTTAAACACAGTTCGGCAAGTCAAACCCTAGAAACAAACTTGAACACAGTTCGGCCCCTACTTCTAGATAGGTCCAACCTATCTCGACTGATTGCAGTCTCTGAAACTCAATAAAAAATACTTACTTATGTACCTCAGTTTACTATCTTCTAGGGTTACCTGAACCCTAACCTTCGCTGCTTATTCCTAATTACCAACTTTCTGCAAGCCGCAACAAGTCTTCAACTACTGCGAACCTCTCTTGGTAATCTCCAAGATTCAGCCACCGAATACTTCTTCAAAGCTTCCAACCCTAGCTAGTCCTCATGTGGTCGGATGGACTAGACACACATGAGAAGCCCTAGATAGGCTCTGATACCAAGTAGAAGATCAAGACTGTAATCAATCTTGAATCCTAATAGGTTTTAGGTTTACAAAACAGAAGAAAAGTGAGAGAATAGAAGAGAAACAGGAGAACACAAGTGGTTGAAAGGAGCGACAGATTCTAACAGATCTGCCGCTGCCACTTTCTTATTATTTATAGGTTATGTTTAGTACATAATGGAAATGACACATCTGCCCTTAGTACTTACATAATAAATAAAGTAAACAAAAGCTGAAATAAATAACAACTGAATTAACAAACTGACTCAAACTGACACTACTATAACTAGAACAAATAACTACACATGCTGTCCTACGAACACAGTGGGGACCACTGCAGTGGGGCCCACATCAGTGTTCTTTACATTTTAATTTTTTGGTGACTTAAAAAAAGGTAAAATATGAATAGAGGTGCGACTTTAATTTAAAGCCAATGTTTTAAAAACCAACCCGGAGGCCGAAGCATTTTTGCCTCCGGGTAGTGGATCACCTGTTCCACCGTGCCACACCATCACATATATTCATATTAAGTGTGTGTATATATATAGATATGAATATATGTGTGTATATGCAATTATGTATATATGTATAAATATATATTTTAGCAATAAATAATGTATAAATATGTTTTAGATATGTAATATTTATTATTTTATATTTAATTTATGTTTTTTAATTCAATTTTTAAATTTTTATTTATACAAAATATTAAAATTTGTAATTTGAGGCCACAAAAGAGTTTTTCTTTTTTTTTTTGCAAAAATAGTGGGGCAAAGTGCCTATGACACCTTGGAATGCATAGATCTCGAAAAAGTTACCCAAAATCAAAACAAAAAATCACCCCAATCGGATATCAGAGTGCAAAGTTATGGTCTCCAAAAGTTTGCATGTATTGATGTGCAACCCACGACCCGATCACCAGGTTGAATGGATCAATGATCAAACCGGCCAGGTCAAATGGTTCTTAACCAAATCAACAGTTTTTGACCATTTAACAGGTCTTGACTGAACTGGACCCAGAATCCTAACCAGATAACAGTTCGAACAGCTCAACCGACCGGGTCAATGACATGTTGAAAACATTGTTTGAAGCCAAGGATCAAAGAATCACAACGTATTAGCCAGTTTTAGCCGATACATACCGTATCAGGGGCTTCCCAATACACCCCTAAAGGGGGAGTTTCAGGTCAGACCCCTGGTACGGGGGGGGGGGTACAGGGGCCTTAAACCGAAGATCATGAATAGGCGTGCAATTAACATGCTAACAGTACAGTATCTAGTCCTAGTCGTACATCAGAAATATCCGCCAAAACCTTGATGTACACTCTTTCAGAGGGGAGATAAGTAGTCATGTGGGAAGCATGAAGGGATATGTTTCTAATGTATAACTGGGTGCTGTGCTGTAATGATACACAATATTTACACATATACCTTTTAGATCAGAATGTAACATGAGATTGGATTATTCATATAATGCCAAATTTCTTTTGCTTCATAAACCAATTTCATACTTAAAAGTATGTTTTATTTTCTTTTGCTTCATAAACCAATTTCATACCTAAAAGCATGTTTTCAGATAATATTACTGCAATGCACCTATAAAGTTAGCTGGATGGAGTCCAAGTTCACCATAAATAGTGGTTGCTTGATCGGTAAACCGTGAACGCAGTATCTCTATGGCAACGGAGGAACATCAACCCATTTCTCCAGTTTCCTGTTTCCCCATATAACTTAGCTTTCTCTTAAAAGCAGACCCATGAGTTGGCGTTGGCCACCCTTTTCCTGCCAACTCAAAGCAGATGCCTTTCGGATTTCCAGAGCATTCAGTGGCACACACCTGCCATTTGAGAAGATCAGATATAAGTTGAATGCCCAATTCAGAATTCAGCAAGAGGACTAGAGGAGGTTGGCAGTTGCCTTCCGGCTTCCTTCAATTTCTTCTGCACCATCCAGTCTTCCACCCATTCGAATGGTCCTGATTATGAAAGCAAGTCTCATCTTGTTTAAGAGCTGACTATTGGAAAAACACTGTAAAGTCTTAAGAATTTTTTTCTTGGATAAAGCATTCAACTGGGTATCAGGAATTCATTCAACTCCGAGGAGCAAGTACAACTCTCCAATTTACGAGAAAATTAAAAAAAATGGGTCAAAGATTTTTCAAATAAACATCAAAAAATCAATCAAAAGGGCGGTTATTTGTGAACACGGCATGCTTTTGCTGTTTTCTCCCATATATTCCTGTACAAATTATATCAGTAGAATAAACAATCTGTACAATTCTCAAAGTTTTTTCTCTCTTTTTTTTTTTTTTTTTAATTTTCCCTCTTTGCTTTCTGTCAGAGCAGTTATTATATTGCAAGTGTTCCTTCAATTACTTGATCGTCATCTGCAGAATCTGGGGCCTGAGACTTGGGCTTGCTCATGACCTTTGAAAAACCATAGCCAAGAGAACTTCCACTAGCTTCACATAGCTGCGCAGACAAACAAACCTGATAAATCAACCAAATACAAGGTAGAATTCTTTCATACATGTAAGTTACATAACCATATTAGATTTAGAAACACAAGGTTGAATTTAAGGGAATCACAACGTGCATTTCAGGCAGGATAACTGCAGTGAAAAACTCAAGAAGGCAAGTCATAAGAACCCCTATGACCTACTGGCACAAACAGGGAAAATCAAGTCATCCCATGGTTTTATACCTCAGTAAGTTCAGAGAGATGGCGGGTCCTAAACTCATTGATTGTAGCTGCAATTTCTGACGTGGGCAGCTTAGCCTGGAAAGGATAAACAAAAAGGAAATGCTAAATTCAGAAATTGCCATGCAATCACTTTGTAGCTCAGAATAACAACAAAATCTTTGTCGCAAGCAACAAATTTATGCGATTCAACAACTTTCTGTTCACCTGTGCAAGAACTGCAGCTGCTAACTGTAGACTTGGTTCAAGGGTCTCTGGGACAACCTGTAAATTATTATTTTTTGCAACACAGTCATGTTAGACAAAACATCTAATTGTAGACTTAATACCAAAGAAGTTGCAGTTTTCCTCAATAGAAGGAAAATGAAAAAAGAGAACTAAAGAAAATAATGCAAGGGCTGGAGATTTCTATGGCAGAATTGGTGACAGTTGTGCAATGGCTGAGGTTGGGGAATTCCTTACAGTTCAGCAACCTGGTGGTGGAAGGAGACTGTAAAGTAGTAGGATGGTTCAAACAAAATAGTACAAGCCCATAAAATTACAGGTATGATATAAGGGAAGTGAGCAGAATGTCTGTAGAGCAGAGAACATCCTTCACATGGAGACATAGATCAACCAATGGTTTTGCTGACAATGCTGGCAAGACAAGGAGCTAATAAAAATCAGTTCTATTGGGGGTGATTTCTTAAGGGAGAAGTTTGTAATTATGTGAAACAAAAGTGAAATTAGGGATGGGTGACAGAATAGCCTATTTTAAGGGGGTGCTGGGTACATTCTTGTACATATATCATTCTTTCACTCACTAGGCAATAAATTACCAGTTATTTATAAAAAAGTAATGGATTATTTATCAAAAAAAGTAATAGATTATATACCGCTGTTGCCCCTGCCTTCTCCAAATTGAGACCATGGTCAACATCATGGGCACGGACAAAAGTCTTCACATTGGGAAAATATTTGCTTAGAGCCCATACTGTTCTATAATTTGCACCTGGAGTATCCAAAGTTATGGCAGCAGCACATGCTCTTTCAGCACCAACTTTATGGAGGACCTATTCCCAATGCATGTAAAGAAGAATGTCAGATACCATCTTCAAAGAAGCATACTTAAATTTGACTTTTCTTGAAGATACTTCAGATTTTGACTTTTGCTTTATTTATTTACCTCTCGACTCCCTGCATCTCCAAAATATACAGGAAGATCAAGTGCACGCCCAACTGCTACACGATCACTGAAATTAGAAAGAGATTAATATGTCTAGCATGTCATATCGTACCATAGAAATACCAGCCTATTCCAAATTGTAACATATGTCTCATTCCTTGGTGCTTAATTAAGTATCCATGTAAAATCATTATCAATAACATCTTCCGTTAACCAGACCAACAAAATAAAAAAGGTAAATTGCAAAGGAATTAAGCGGGTTCAAGTTAATGACCTTCAATAATAAATCAAACTCTTTATAGCTAAAGAGAATTAAGTTCTTGTGTGCTAATAAAAAAAAAAAAAAACACAGTTCTTACTTGTACCACTAAGCCCTTGACTAGTTCCTACAGCAGCTCATGAAGGAAATTCTTATCAAGTTCATTCATTTAAGGGACAGTGGCTTTGTGTTCACATGTAATATAATGATTGATAACCTAGTTCTTTTGTTTTTATTATTTTGATCAATAACTTTCAAATTTTATTAAAGATAAAACAAGATGTATATACTATAGATTCCCTTTCAGAGATAAGCCCTCTTATCTTGTCTGATTCTTTTGATTATATTCATGGTTAACAATACCGAGTCCCAAACCTCTTACGAAACAATGATGGTAAAAGAATCTATATGCTTCCCAGCTACATGCTGTATTACTGCCTATAAGATTCTTGTAAAATGCATAAACACTAAAGGAGGTTAAAGGGAAACTGGTTGTGACTTTACCCACCCATCTCCTACTTGCAATTTTCTGATTGATACTAAGGCCTGCGCAAACTCTTACCTTCACAGGGTATACTGTATACCTACTAGTCCATTTCAAAAAACCCTTGAGCCTTTGGACAAACTTATTTTATTGTAAAATTATTGAAAATGAGGAGGTAGAGAACTCAAGGTCATTGCAATGAGGTTAGGATGGAACCTTTGAGAGCAGAATTATTAGCTCTACTACAAGGATTAAAATTTTTACAACAGCTGGCTGAAGTTGAAGGGGACTGTCAAGTGGTGGTAAATCTGATGATTAAAGGAAAAAAGCGCAATAGGTTCTAAGGTTTCTGATTAGAGAAGTAAGAGCTTTGGCTACAAATCTCAACTGCCGCTCATTAAGGTTGATTTTAAAAGCTCCAAGTAGTTTGGAAGATTCCCTAACAAGAATAGTGGTTACAAGGATTGACCTTGTGTAAGGTACACCTGGGCCAGGGGGAGAGTTGTAAAGACCCCTTTTATAAAGTAGGATTGATCAACTAAATCCTCTGCTCCTTGCACCTTGCATTTCTCTTTTTTTGTACTGGAAGGACCTTCATATTCATATCAATTTAGTTTCATTCTACCGTTACTTGTCAAAGAAAAATGAAGTTAGGCTGAAATCCTAAAACATACATCTGTCTTACATTTAGGAGCCAATTCTCAATTTAAACAATAAATCCATTTTAGAACCCAGTAATCTAATGTTTTCAGAGGGAGTTCATAACTATCAAAATGTTTTGGTCGTGTACCAAAAATTGACTTTCCTGTATATTGTAAATTTTTGGACTATTTTAGTATATAGGGGTATGTTAGTCATTATATTCATGTCATCTTGCTATGAGTTTTACTAGATTATTTGTTCTTTTCCCAGTTGTTTGGGTCAATGTTGCAGGCTATAGGTTGGTCTTTAGATAACTTAGTCTTATAACATAGTAAAAATACTTTATTTTTCTGACTAAAATAATTTGGAAAGAATAACCTTATCCTTTTTCTAAGCTCAATTTGTTTGCAGTACAAATTCATTTCACTATTGTAAATGCATGGGAGTGCAAATAGGCTGAGTGTATATTCCAGTTTACTTTTGCTTCAAATTTGACATTGTTTTGTTTTCTTTTAAGAGAAAAATAGGAAGTGGAATGATGTGGTCCCCACTTTATATGAAAGAAAATGAAGGCAGGAGAAAGGCTGTTTGTTTGAGAGGAGTGAAATAAGAATGAAATTATGTGGTCCCAACCTTGTATGAAATAATTAAGGTAAAAGGAAGATGGTGCAAATTTTGCATCAGTTTTTTGGGATGCAAAATTTTCACTGGCAATGAAAAAATGCAAATTCTGTATCCATTAATAATGCAAATTACAATTACAAACAAATAGATGCAAATTTGAACCAGGTGTAAAATTTAGGAAAAATTACTGGAATTTCAGTATCTAAGGTTTTAGCATCAGGTTCAGCTGACCAAATCATCCGGTGTTTAAAACCTTGTGTGAAACCACCAGGCCCATGAAAGAATTATTAGTACATACACTACATCAGTAGGATCTTCAGAAACCATCAGCCACACTGATGCAGTCTATTACATTAGCAAAACATACCTCTTGTCAAAGAGGATGTCCCATAGACAACCTTTGCAGAAAGTATGGTATTCCTACTCAGATCTGTTTTCCTCTAGCAGACTTTCTTTCTTATGGCTATCAAAAATAAAGGAAGAAATAGAGGCAACCATTTCACAATATAACACCAAACTTTGCATAAATTACAAAGATTTAATGGACAGTTAATGATAAATCATTTAAACATAATTCTAGAAGTCAATTGAAGAACCTCAACTTTTATCTTGCAAGTGTTTCATAAAGAAGAAAATTCCACATGCTATCCTCAAATAACTGCTGTCATATAAGTGACATGTTAAAGACAAACTTACCTCCTGACATCAAGAGCAACAAATGGAATTAATCGTTCAGAAAGAAGTTGTGCAATGATCTGTAGAAACAATAATATTAGTCAATAATGTATAAATAAGCATATTTGAGTGAACTTAATAAAGAAGCTTTGCTTCTATTTTGTGAAAGATCAAATGTAAAACATGAGAACACCTGTCCAACACGTCCAAATCCGCAAATGATAATATGGTCTTGTAAGTCATCTGTCTGAAAATAAAATTGGACCAAAAGAAATAAAGACTTAAGTGATCAATAAATGTATCAGGACAATTGCAATATCTCTACATTTTCTAAGAAATATAAGCCATTTACTACATAAATACACAAACTGCCTATTTAACAGTTTGTGTATTTATGGGATGTTTGGAAAGCCACATGGAAACAAAATTGTTCCATTTTAGTTTTTTTATAGTATATGAAAACATTTCTTAATTATCAAAGATGGAGTACTAAAGAAATGGTAAGAAGGAAAAATGAAATTGAAATGTTAGAATTCCCTGAAATCATAAAATGGCATTATCTCTTTTATAATCCTGTCAGAACAACATTTTAGATCATGTAACAAGGCACTCAAATCCAATGAAAAACTAAAATAGAATTATCTCATACAAAGTGGCTTTCAAACACCTCTTTGAGAAATGAAAAAGAGTAATGCTAAATAAATGCAACATAAATGTGTAAACTTGGAATAAATTATCGAGTGTACTGGATCCATTTGTTGCAGTAGTTCAAAATATTAATGCAACACACAATTTGCCAAAACTTGAGATGCATAAAACAGAAATCATATGTAACAACTTATCAACATTTTCTATAGCATATCAGAAATGTATAATGCTAAGATGGATGAGTTGAAAAACTAGAAAGGATAGGGTCAGAAATGGAGTCGTTCGAAGGAATCTAGGAGTAGCTTTGATAGATAATAAAATTAGAGAATGTAGATTAAAACGGTTTGGTAATGTGCATAGAAGACCATCGACAACACCCGAAAAAAGAAGTGATCTATTGCAAGTTGAAGAGGCTAAAAGGGCTAGGGGTAGACCAGTGTTTTAAAAGCACAAGGTGCAAAAGTGGCACAGGGGTCAATTTGCACCTGAGGTGCAACGCAAGGTGCATGCCTTTTTGAAAAAAGGCGCAAAAATACAAAAAAAAGATAAAAATTAAAAAAAAAGCCAAAAAATTCAAAAAAAAATGTTAAATATAATATTAATAAAAAATATAAACTTAAATTTTAAAATAATGTTTAAAAAAACCTATTATCTAAAATTAAAATACATAAACATAAGATGTAAAGCATATATTAAATGAGAATTTAAAAATAAAAGCATTTCCAAGCATGTAAAACCTCTAATCTCTTTTTTCACTCAATTGCATTACTTCAAGTAGCTAATGTAATGTAAAACATATTATATTCCTGATTCTACGAGCTGCCTTTGTGCCACGCCCCTCGAGGCAAGCCCAAACAAGTCCACATTAGGTCTTAAATTCTTAGTTTTCACACAAAGAATTTAAGACCTAACGTGGACACTTGTTTGGGCTTGCCTCAAGGGGTGTGGCACGGGGTTCCAAAAAAGCATCAAATTTTCAAAAGGCGCACGCCTGGGCTGAGGCGCATCAGGCACACGCCTAGGACCTAAGCAAGGTGCATACCCTGAAATTCGCCTTGCCTGTGCGCCCAGGCGCACCTCAGGTGTGCCTTTTAAATCATTGGGGTAGACCAAAAGGGACATGGGTCAAAATAGTAAGAAATGATTCAAGCGATCGTAATTTAACAATGGGTATGGCATTAAACAGAATGGCATGGAAAAACAGGATCCATGTGGTTGACCCCATATAGTTGGGATAAGACTTGGATGACAATGATAATGAGCATATATAATGCAACTTATATCAATTTCATAAAGCTGCTAGGCCAAGCACTCGAAGCAATGAAATCTGAGACTGTTAAAGTTCAATTTGTCCATTTCCTTGGTAATTGACATATTCATATAGGCACTTGTTGCTAGACATCTTACCTCACTCTCTACTGGCAATAAACTTCTAACATCATGCTGTTCAAACTGAGATGCAATTAGTTGACCTCCAGCTGCCAGCCATGGTGTGAGGGCCATAGAGATGCCCACAACCAGAAACAGCAAAGATGAAAGTTGAGATGACAGTATTCCCTGCAAAATAAGGTAATGCATTGAAGTAATTAAAATTACATACAATTACCCCTCACAAGAACAAGACAAAGTTACCAATCATGCATCTAGAAGCAGTTTATTTTATTTTATTTAAGCGCTCATAATTTAACATGGATATGGCACTAAACAGAATGTAATGGCGAAACACGACTCATGTAGCCAACCCCACATAGTGTTGGGATAAGGCTTAGATCATCATGATCAGCACATATAGAAGCAGTTTATTTTATTGATAAATCTGTATGCCTTAGGTATTAAGACATAACATAAATGTTGGTAAAGAGAAAAAAAAAAACAATGGTAATTCAAAGAAAAGGTTCTACATGGAACCTTAGAGTAGCTTGCGTCATACCAATACTAGCTGCATCATGAGGGATGTTAAGTTGTTACTAATCATGCATCTATAAACAGTTTATTACATAAAGATGTCTGTTTAAGTTTTACATCATAATTTGATGACATATGAAATGAAAACAGGGAAAGACCAATGTTAATTAGAAACAGAGAAATGGTTATTCATGAAAATCTAGTAGTTTTTCAATGAAACTAAAGTGCAACATGAAGGATGTTCTCTGACAACTTAAATTGTATAGGAACAAAATACTAATTACACAAGTAATGTTATACTGGCTTGAAACTCCAGTGTATTTGCAAACAAGGCAAACTAAAAAAATATTGTGCCTGGGTGATAATAAAAGGAACCTCATGTTCCTGGTTATCAATCCAAAAACTGTTTCAAGGAGTTAAAAAAAAACAGTGCATAGTTTTTTCGTTTTCTTTTTTTAAGTAATTACCTATTCCACCTAAATCTCGTTCTAGTACCTATTCACAAATCTAGACGTGCTTATCCATACTGCAGCAGTAACTAGTACAATCACCTTTTCATCTAGTGTCCATAGTTTTTTCCTTTTTTATTTTTGATCATTGAATAGTAAGATTTATTAAAGCATAGCCAAAGAGAGTACAATTCAGGGAGAGGCATGAGATACTACCTCCCCTTTAAGGATGGGAGATGGAGGATTCCATCAACCCTTTAGTTGAAAAAACAGAACAAAGGACAAAGACAATTACAGAGAAGCCCAATACAAAGTAACATGAGTAGCCCCTTGTTTAGCAAGATAATCAACCAAGGCATTTGCCAATCTACCCACCCACTGAAATCTAACTGTCATATTCCTCGTGAGCCATTTAACCTTTTTTTAAAATATCCTTGAAGCCCCAAGTGACAGTACCTGGGTCAGCCAACCATCCTACAACCACCTTGGAATCTCCTTCAATTATTAAGTTCTGCACTTCAGGCTGACAAGCAATCTGTACCCCCTGTACCGCAGCTAGAAGTTCAGCCCTCAGTACACCAATACCAGACGGTCCTGGATTGCACTGACTACTCCCATCAAAATTCAGCTTAACAAAAGCCTCCATAGGCAGAGTCCATGTTACTTGAATTCCAGGATTCTTAGAAAAAGTGAAGGCAAATGCAGACCAATTCCTACTTATATCATCGAAGGAGTAATTTTCAAAGAGCTTTAAGGATTTCAGCCACAGAATAGCCCTTGTCAAAATACACTCGACCTCAAGAATGGTTCTTTCCTTCTGAAAAATTATGGCATTTCTTTCTTCCCAAATAGTCCATAGTAGAGCTGCTCTTATACACTTTAACATAATTCTCCCTCTTCTCGTGGGTCACACGAAGGTAGATGGAGAAAACAACAAATTTACCTCAGCTGGCAAGTTCCACCTGCACCCAAACAAATCAAATACCCAATTCTAAATAGCTGCAGCGAAAGAACAGGAAATCAATAAGTGGTAACAGTTCTCATTCTGCGCTTTGCACGGGGTACACCAGTTAGGGGATAAACACAAGAAAGGTCTTTTCTTCTACAAGTTATCCATCATGTTGATTTTACCATAGTAAACTTCCCAACAAAAGACAACTAATTTTGGGGGAATAGGCCTAGACTAGACTTCTTTAACTGGGAATTCCCAAGGAGAAGAACTAGAGCAATGGGATTTAAAGAAAGAGGCACAAGTAAACGAACCTTTTGGAGTCTAAGCAACCAGAATCAAGTAACAATAAGAGCTTAGAAATTGATAAGGATTCCCCATCCCACAACCCTCAATGGAAGCCAAGGTCCCAATTTATAGACAAAGGGGTATACGTGGATAAAAGAAAGGTAGACACAGCCACATATGCTCTTTTTTATAAAGGGAAATAGAGAAAAGAGAGGGGAACAGGTCCTAAAGGGGCAAATTTCCCACCCAAGTGTCTTCCCAGAAAAGAACAAGAATGCTAGAGTAAGCATCATACCTTACAAAGCGGAGGAACTGGGGGAGGATGCATTGAATTGCATTCCAAGGTGTTGTAAGAGTAGCGTCTAGATACCCCTGCATCCCAACCATTTCCGGAACAACCATGGATACTCACCACCACTGCATGCCACAACCTATCCCTCTTTGAAGGCCATCTCCACAACCACTTCCCTATAAGAACTTCATTCTTATGAGCAAGATTCCCTAATCCTAGTCCTCCTTTCTTACTTCGACTAACTACCTCCCACCCAATCAAATGATCCTTCTTTCTCTTGCCCTCGGCTCCCACAAGAAATCCCTCATCATCTTCTCTATCTTCTTAACTTCCCTAGTAGGAATCTTAAAGACAGACAAAAAGTAAACCGGAAAATTAGCAAGTGTGGATCTGATCCAAGTCACTTTACCCCCCAAGGAAATATAATTCTTTTTCCAAGTTGCCAACATTTTTCCAAACTTTTCCACAACGGTGTTCCAAAATTAACTCTCCTTTGGGTTAGCTCTTAGGAGAAGACCTAGATAAGTTAAGGGCCAAGACGAGGTGGAACGCTCTATGCAATCTGCAATAGCCTCCAATTCCTAATCGCCCATATTAACTCCAATCACACAATTTTTTTCAAAATTGATTTTCAGATTTGACACTTAATAAAAATATTATTAAATTCTTAAGGTTCCTTACCTTCCTCAAATCACTTCCTTCACAAAAGATTATAGTGTCATCTGCAAACTGAAGGTGGGTCACTGGAACACTGCTTCCTATTCTCCATAGTCCACACACTCACAGGCTCCTCCCTATCCACTTTTGAAATCATCCTACTTAACACATCAGCAACAAGAGTGAACAAAAAGGGGGAGAGTGGATCACCTTGTCTTAGGCCCCTACATGCTGGGAAAAAGTCCTTAACTACTCCATTGACAAGGATGGAATAATGGCAAGAAGTGAGACAACCCTTAATCCATTTGCACCATCTTTCCCTAAACCCACACTTCCTTAACACCTCTAAGAGGAAGCTCCAATCCACCAAATTGTAGGCATTTTCAAGATCCTTTTTATATCAATAACAACAATTTCATTAATCAAATAATCTGAACAATAAGGTACAAGGAGGGGGAGCTAAACTTCCTACTTAGTTAACCCATCAGCAAAGGAGTTAGCAAATCTCTTCACCCAGCTGACTTTGACATCCATGTCCTTAACCATCCACCTGTACTTTTTCTTTTCATTGTTGTAAGCCCATAACCCGGTCTAGTCTTCTTTCAGCCACCCTACTACAACCTCCAAGTCCCCTACAATTACAAGTCTTCTAATGTTCATTTCCTTAGCTCTTCGGACACCTTTCACAACAGCATAAATTTCAGCTCTGAGAGAATCACCCATCCCAATTGGGCATGAGAACAAGGCAGAAACAGTCCAATTCTCGTCTCTAAACACACCCCCAATTCCTGAAATCCCCGGGTTCCCTCTACTACTACCATCAAAGTTCAGCTTTACAAAGCCAGAGGGAGAGGGAATCCAGGACACAGTCTGGCCTGTTTTGACCTGAGTACACTTGGCAATCTCTCCTCATTTTCTCAGCAAATCATTCGCTGTAAAGTCTATAAACAACTCTGAAAATTTCATCCACTGTACCACCCTCACATGAATAAACTCTATTAGGTTTTCAGCCCTTCTATCCTTTTCGGAGAAAAACCTTAAGTTCCTTTCTTCCCACAATGACCAGCACACAACAGCCCTTAAGCATCTCCACGTAGTCCTGCCCCTTTTTGGCTGCCACCTGAAAAAGGAAGAAGAAAATAGACTCTGCAAATTCAGTGTGTGTGTGTGGGTGGGGTGGGGGGGGGGTCCAGCTGTACCCACAAAGGGAGAATGTCCATTCCCAAATAGTTCTTGCAAACTGGCAAGAGACCAATAGGTGAAAACCAGTCACTTCATCAGCTTTACAGAGAACACACCAGTGAGGGGATAAGCATGTCTTGGGTCTCTTCTTTTGAAACAAATCACTTGTGTTGATTCTTTCCAGAAAAGTTTCCCAACAAAAACTCCCAACCCTAGAAGGAATTGTCTTGCACCGAATCTCTTTAATAGGGAAAGAAGGGCCAATGGGGTTTGTTGGCTGGGTAAGGACTTTAAAGAAAGAGGCACAAGAGAAAGATCCCGATGGGGTGGGGGTCCAGATTCTAGTGTCATCCTTTTTGGGGTACAAGAAAACATTTTCAAGACGACCAAGGAGAGTTGAAATGCTGTTCAAGTCTGTATCTCTAACAGCTATTCTCAACCCCAAATTCCAACCAAACCCAGAGTTTGAAGATGAGTGATGTGGATGCCGGCAGCAGCAGCAGTCTGTATCTATTCAGTATTCTTGCCTTATCTGCTTTCAGTAGTAGGGATTAGTAGGAGTCTTATCTATTCAGTGTTCTTATCTTATCAGTTCAGTAGTATGGATTAGTAGGGAGTCTTATCTTATCAGTTCAGTAGGATAGATTAAGGGAGTCTTATCTTATCTTATCTTATCAGTTYAGTAGGATAGATTAGTAGGGAGTCTTCCTAATTAGCAAGGAGTCTTCCTAAAAGTAGGACTCTTATCTCTTGTAATCTCCTATTTAAGGAGCTGAGAATATTGAATAAGATCATCGAGAATTTCAGTCAAGAAAGAGAGCAGAGGAGAGTTTGG